AGCTAAATGCCCTGAAAATTTACAGATGTGTACTTCACATAATACAAAACCCACTAAAAAAGTTTCAAAAAATAATAAAATTGTTTAGACCCCGAACTAAAGTCAAAACAAAAAGTAAAAAGTGAAAAAAAACGTGGGCGATTGACACCGCCATCTTTGGCGATTTTTAGTTCTTATTTGGCTGATCCAAATAACTTGAAAATTTATAGGCATGTACCACACGTCATAGAGAACTCACAAGCAAAAATTCAGAAAAAAAAAAATAGGCCCCGAAATAATTTTTGGCGGGGGCCGAACGCCGTCGGGTTCGGACCCCGTACGGGACCCCGAACACCCATACGTACGGAGGTCTGCCCGGGGACCTCCGTACGTACGGGCTGGTGACCCTGCCCAATGCCATATTGCTGCTAAAAAAAGTAGCCCTGAGTCATGACAATAGAATGTTAGAATTTATATACGAGATCTTACGAAAAGCCAAATTGGAGAATCAGAATACCGTCCTTGGATTCCTTTTATCGGAACAATGTTTCTCTTTGCATTTGTATTTAATTGGTCAGGTGCTCTAATCCCTTTTAAACTAGTTCAATTACCAAATGGATAAGTGGCAGCCCCTACTACTGATATAAATACTACTGCTACTACTGTAGCTTTAGCATTGCTTACCTCAGTAGCATATTTTTTATGCAGGACTGCCTCTGTATCGTTCGCATTTTTTAACGGATGTCCCGAAGGACAGAATTCTGCTTCATCTGTTTTTTTGCAGGCAACATTAATGTTCGTGATGGTGCTGAGTCCTGCTGACATCGAATTTAAAATGAAGTTAAAATGAAGTTGCAGTGAAGTTGCAGTGAAGTTGCAATGAAGTTAGAGTGCAGTTCCAACTTCCCAAGTTGATTTTGAACTTTCCTCCTTGTTTTCCTGCAGGAGAGGGAACAATTGACGGGCAGGGCAATTGGGTGTGGAAGCTGGTAGAAGAGAAGAAGTTCAATTACACTCCAGGGTGTATGATAGAGTTCATGTGGTCGAAGCGGATCGTCATCTCAGGATTGAAACTTGTCAATTCTGCTTTCTGGAACGTTCATCTTCTTTATTGTGACCAAGTTCACATTCATGGGCTGGAGATAAAGGCCCCCCTTGGGTCACATAACACAGATGGAATTGATATTGGTGAGCACGCGTGCCCCCCTCCCCCTCCCTTCCCTCCCCCCCCCCCCCCCCCCCCCCCCCCCCCCCCCCCCCCCCCCCCCCCCCCCCCCCCCCCCCCCCCCCCCCCCCCCCCCCCCCCCCCCCCCTCCCCCCCCCCCCCCCCCCCCCCCCAAAAAAAAAAAAAAAAAAAAAAAAGGCAAGTGGATGCCTGACGTCAGTGCTATCCAAGTGTAGGGAAAAAAAAGTAGGAAAAACGGAGTTGGTGCATGAAGTCAATGCGATCCTAGATTCATTGCGAATTCGCTGTGGTTTTGCCAAGTGCTTTTTTTCTTCTTCTTCTTTTTTTAAACAAAAGCAAAACTTTGCGTTATAAAACCGGGAAATGGGCTGAGTAATTGCCACTAAATTTCTTTTTCTTTTTTTTTGCTTTCCAACTTTCAGCAATTCAGAGATGGTGTCTGCCTTTAAAAACCAAGACTGCTTCTTTTGGACTTGATTTTCCATGCGAGAAGTTAAGATGGAATGTGGATGGAGCCTCCCCCCCCGGGTGCTAGTGGTGTCTGGCCCTGTCAGCACCACTAGCACAGCAGGTGTGTGTGTGTTTTGTGAAAAAAAAAAAAAAAAAAAAAAAGATGGAATGTGGTTCCAAGGGGTGTCAAAAAAAGAAGAAACAGAAAAAGGGTCCAAGGACTGTTGCTGCAGTGTTGCAATGCCCAACTTGATGGAACCTGCACACACAATAAGCCTCTTCTTCAATTCTGAATTATCTAAGCTCTGTCGTATTCTTTTTTCGGGGGGAGGGGGGGGGGGGGGGGGGGAACTACGCGGGAGTCGCAAAAATGAGTTATAATTGCAAACTATATCTTGCCCCATATATATTATATAGTGCAATTATAACTCGGTTTTGTGACTCTACTGAAGTTACCCCTTTTTTTTTTTGGGTGGTGTGGGGGGGGGGGGGGGGCTTTGGGGTGGGAGGGGAATTGCATTTGTAGTATTTGTAGTATTTTACTATTTGTAGTATTTGTAGTATTTGTAGTAATTTTGTACCTTGTTCAAAGATGGGAATTCGGTTTGTAGTACCTCTATTATACCCAGGCCCAGTGCCCAACTTACGTGTGTATCTGGGAAATGGCCAGTGGAAATTGTGTCCATGCTCAGGACTGAGGGCATACTCACACTAGCACTTTCCTAAATGTATCTGACCACAATTACGGCAAGACCTGAATGAATCTGACCGCCATCACATCCACAGCTTGATAAAAATAAGTAGTAGTGTGAGTATGTCCAGGACTGAGGTGGGCCAAGGTTGGGGCCGTCAAATTGCGACTATACCCAACTACCTGAATGCTGTGTAATGAACACAGTCTCGTCAGACAATCATGTCGTCAAACAGCAATGTCGTGCAATGTCGTGAGATAATAATTCCAACAAGTTCTTCAAACTGATGTCGTCAAAGTACCTGATCTCTCAGTTCCACGTGTGATCCAACTCGATGGTAAGTATCCAGATGAGTGAAGAGAGGGGGGAGACAAGACAGAGGGAGGAGAAGAGTATCACAGTAATCAATTCCCACTACTTATCCTCCAGGCTCCCCACCTCTGCCACGTCAGCGCTTCTGAACACTGAATGACACATGGATGATGATGAATGCAGCCCCTCGCAGATGCGGCGAGCAGAATCAGCAGCAGCGTCCCACCATGTAAGATCAGGTGCACACTCACGCCCTCACACTCCACCCACACTCTCTCTCTTCCTCGCCTCCCTCTCTCGCCGTCGACTATCCTTGCAGCAATGGCTGCCTCACTCTCCTAAACTCTAGTATCTGGCTGGCGCGCCTGAAACAGCATGGCACCAGCCCCCACTCCTCAAGTCTCACGTGCGGCGTCGAAGCCGCAAGCCACTCGCAAGACTGAATGCCCAAGCAGTGGCAAGGTCAACGTAATATAGTGTTGACTCGGAAGATCCACGGTCAGCGTCGGTCCATGTGAGGGCCCGGATCTTCCGATTTGTCCCAGTTGCGGTCTGGAGTCCTCGAGGCCTGGATGTCTTCCAGAACCTGCAGACCACTGTCAGATCATTCCAGATCGACGGCCTGGAAATCTTGTGTGTCGACTTCGACTTCTCGGATCTGGGCCTAGGGGTCCACGAGCCGACTGTTGACTTTTCGGTCAACTGTCGGCCAGGGCCATTTCTGAGGCCTGTTTGACCCCTCTATTTCCAAGCCTGCCCATTCGTGCTTGTCTGTGGGCGCGACGAGAGCCCCGCGTGGGCCAGCGGCTCAATTTGGCACACGAGTTGCAGCAGCTGCAGCGGCATTTCGTAGCGGCCGAAACACAATGAGGGGGGCAATATTGTTGTGGCGATTTTTTCTTTTGTGATTGCTACTTTGTTTGGACTTTGAAGTTTCAAACTTAGTGTCTTATCGTCTCCTCGTCCTCTCCGTCCTCCCTTCTTGTGCTTGAGTTATGAACTTTTTTCAAGTTTTCATGCCATTGCTACTATTTTTTACACCCTCAGCATTTGTCGACTTGCATCTTGGTTTCTTTTTTTCTTCTTCTTTTTTTTTTTAAGTAAAAAAGCTCATTTGTCGACTTGCATCTCGCATAGTGGGATTCTCTTTTCTCTTTTCTAAATTCCAACAACTAACAAACAATCTTCGATACAGCTTGGAAACGGGCAGCGTCCCTCGTGTCGTAGGGCGGCCCGTTGGAAATGTACCAGGTGGCAGGTACTCCACCGTGGTAGAAATCTGGGCCGCCAGTCGTACAGATTCTCACTTGTACAGATAGCAGGTAGTCAACGGAGACTAATGTTTTTCGTCTTTTTTTTTTTTTTTGGGTGGGTGGGGGGGGGGGTGGAAAAATACAGCTGTCTTCTCCTCATATGGGGGACCCAGCATAGAGCAGAGCGGAAAAGGAGAGACATATTGAGAGAAGAAAATAGGGTAGCCAAAAGATGCAACTGTTTGTTTTTTTTTGTTTCTCTTTCTTTCTTTCTTTCTTTTTTTCTTTTCAAAGAGAAGGGTAACAGCCTCGAGATATTCTCATCGAACGGACCGGCCCAAGGAAATTCCGAAGTATCTGATTTCATTCATCTAGTGCGATTTGGATTCGAATTTCAAACTCAGATTCTGTATTTCAACATTCCATGGGTGTACCAAGTACTACCAACTGAGCTAGGCCTGTTGATTGTTTGTCTATTTTGCAAGTTTTGTAACCCATTGACTCCTCTTTTTTTTTTAATGAGCGTGCAATGACTCTGCATCCCTTTCGGTCCCATATGCTTGTCTAATCAAGTTCCAATTCAAATTACCAAGGCCTGCTTACTTTGTATGATGCCGCTGCGGCCTTCTGTGATGTGATGATGGCAGATTCCAGCAAGAAGGTCCTTGTAGAGGATTGTGATATCAGCACTGGGGATGATGCAATTTGCATTAAAAGCGGCTGGGATCAGTACGGCAAGAAGATGGGCATTCCTGCTGAGAACATCTGCATTCGTTCCATTGTTGTTGGTATGTACCCCTCATGGGTGTAAAAAACTGTGCCGTCCAATCCCCTCACTGTCATAGGGAGAATAATCTTTACCATCTGCAGTGCACATAAACATCACCCAGCCCACATAATACAGAGACAGAGACAGACACAGAGAGAGAGAGAGAGAGAGAGAGACAGAGAGACAGAGAGACAGAGAGAGAGAGAGAGAGAGAGAGAGAGAGAGAGAGAGAGAGAGAGAGAGAAAGACAGGAACAACTTCCTCGGGGATGCCGGCTATNAGAGAGAGAGAGAGAGAGAGAGAGAGAGAGAGAGAGAGAGAGAGAGAGAGAGAGAGAATAGGATGCTGGGCGACTCTTGAGGGCGGTAATGATTAACACGAGGTGGCGTAGGAAGGAAGATGGTATTTCTATACTTTTGCACTGTCGGACAATATCTGGATGGAAACTGTCTGTGATTGTGCAGGCGCAGAGTATGGATGGCTGTCTCGGCCCTGCTTGTAATTATAGAAGTCCCAATGTCCTACCCGGTTTTCGGGTTGAGGTTCTAACCTAGGTGTTTCTGACCCCTACATCATTGAGCTATCATCTTAATCTGTTGTTTAGTGGTCATTGGTGCTTTTTTTCAGTTCCCTGCTTTGTTGTGTAGGTTTTCCCCTCACCCATGCACCCGACCGCCTCCGCCTCTCCGCTTCCCCCTCTCCCACCTTTTCCCCCTTCACGCCTTTCAAATATTTGGCTATTGTCCCTTTTCCCCATCCATATATACAAAGGGGTATCGCATGCGATGACTATCATTGCTTGCATTTTGACATCCTCCCCCATCCCCAGCGTCACTTTCACCGCCCTCTCCCTTTTCCTCCATGGACGTAGGACTGCCACCAGTGGCTCACACTCTTCCAGAATTCATTCAGTGTATAGTTTAGGTTCTGGCCTTGCTTGTGCTCCTTTTGTGCCGAGTAAGTCTGCATCTAGTCATAAAATTGCCAGGATCATTGCTACTTAGGACAGACATGGCACCACTGGCACCTGATTGATAGAGAGGTCTTTTCCACAAACTGTTTTTTGTGTTTGGGCATAATTTTGCTGTGCAGTGTTGCGCTCACTGCATTTTATGCCATTGCATTCTTGGCTTCGGTTTGTTGCTGATTTGTGGTATCATGTATGTGATGTGGCATTGGATGGCGGTCCTTAGGTTTGAGTCATGGCGTTTCCATTGGGAGTGAAATCTCAGGAGGAGTGCGAAAGGTGCGGATTGATGGGATCAGGTTCAATGGATCAGAAAGGGCATTCCGCGTGAAGACGACGGCTGGCCGCGGGGCGTATGTCCATGACATCACCGTTAAAAACATTTATATATCTGGGGGCTTGCGCGACGCCATCGAATTCTTCAGCGATTACCGATCTGGCAGCTTCACGCATCCAGATGATGGATACGATCCCACTGCGTATACAGACATCCAAGACATTGTCATCAAGCGATTTGTCGGAGTCGATTGCGACGGAGCAGGCGTTTTCGAAGGTACAGCAAACTCATCGATCAACGCCATCCACTTGAAAGACGTCTTTTTCCACAATTGGAAGAAATCTTCCCCGTACACATGTTATAATGTCACTGGCACTCAAAGAAATGTATCGCCGCCAGCCCCCCTCAATTGTTTCCATGTGTCTTAAAACCTAACTCCTGATGCAGCCACAATCGGGGGATTTTCGGGGACAGCGGTGTATCGCCGCCAGCCCCCCTCAATTGTTTCCCTGTGTCTTAAAACCTAACTCCTGATGCAGCCACAATCGGGGGATTTTCGGGGACAGCGGGGATGTCCTTCCGGATGCAAGGAAGAGAATCTTGAACGCCAGGTGGGAAGTTTTTTCTTCTGCGGTAAGAAGTCTTGAATGCGTACCACGCACGTGTTAGCTCACACCCTTGGCCTGGGTTAGGTTGAGATGGTGTGGCAGAGTTGGAGTTGGAGAGAGCTGCCCTACCATCGAGATCTGCGACCTGGGCGCCCTCGGACAACTCCTCACGGATGACGGAGACGTACTAATCCTTTCAAATACGAGGAAGGTAGCGAGAACTGAAACTCAGGTAAGAAGTTTTGAGCAGTCTTTCGCAGCATTGTAAAAAGACTCCACACCGTACGCGCACCGTACGGCTACCTCTTTGTGCATTCACAATCGAGGACAGTGCTCGGCGGTAACTTATTGTGTATATGTAGACAGCAAGCAGACTGCACGACGGGGAGCGAACCCAAGTCCAGCGAATGGAAATGCAGTCTGCAGACTCTGCAGATGTAGCGGCTGCTGTGTATGACAAACAAGTGCAGAGTCTGCACTCGTTTGCTACCTTCAGTGCACTGCTGTGGTTCCAGGTCTCTTGGGCAAACACTGACGTGTAGCCTTGGCAGGCTGTGTCTTCATCAACGGCTGATGTTGGGCAATTGACGATTCGAATGCTGATGTAGATATTCTCCGACAAAGCGAGTAGTAGTGTGATGCTGATAAAAAAAGAGAGGAGACAATGAGACATAGCCTGCACACACTCAGAGAAGGTGGTTGACAGGGCGGAGCAAGGAGAGGACCGGAATGTGTTTTGCAACGACGATTGCTATCTGGCTGTCCAGTTGATGATTCTCTCGGTCGAAAAGCAGAAAGATGCCCTAGATGGACTGTTTAACCCAGCCCCAAAGGTAGGGCGGACGGGAAGGGCACGGGGAGTGGAAAGGGCGGAGGGAGGAAGGGGCCAGGGGAGCAGGAGGGGGTGGAGAAGGGAGAGGCAACACGTTATTGGAATCCCCTAAGATCACTTTTCTTCCAGTGAGACAGAACCTGGTATGCAGGTGCGGAAGGGCAGGTGAGCAGGGACTGGAGAGGGGAGAGGGGAGAGGGGAGAGGACGAGGAGGACGAGAAGGCTCTTGTTATCCCCTAAGAGCATAAGACTGCTTTTCTCCCAGTAGCATGGAGCTTAGTATATAGCGATCATTTTTCCGATCTTCATTGTCGGTCATCTGCCCGGCTACTGTCTTCCCTGGGATAGAGAATAGAATTGTTGTGTGTGAATTGAGTCCAATTTTGAAGCCAGGTGTATATAGAATCCTACCACACTCTCGTCAGGGGAAGACGGTAGCGGCCCCCCTGGCAAGTCTAACGGTTGCACCAACTTTGGGTTACGTCGACCAGATTCGTTGACCAAGAATGGTTATTGTGAATGAAACATGTAGAGACTGCCTGTCTTTGTCCTTCGGAATACTTAATGACAACTGCACTTTGCAGGGTGGAGCACCCTTTCAAGGACCGGTTCGTAACCACCGTCTTCACCCGAATAGAACGCCTGGTCATTACAGCTGTATTTGGCAAAACTTTCAGCCCAGATACGGCGATAATTAACGGGTGTTCTATTCGGGTGAAGAGGAAGAGGATACTCATTCCAGAGTATGGGTGATTGGTCTAAGTGGTGCTATGTCTGTCCTACGAAGACAGCAGGAACCTGGTCGTTTTTCCAACCAGCTGCATGGTTTCTAAGCACGAACATAGCACCATAGCACTGCCGCTGGGTCTTGGCCATTCGTCAAGTGGAGGCGGAAAGGGGCAACAAGTAGGTTTGCTGCTTGGTAGGCAATAGAGAAGATCAGGCTGCAATCCTGATTGCCAGCGACTTCTTTCTCGGACTGGCGAGAACCAGGGTCAAGGTCAACTCCGCAGGGTTAGCTTAGAGGTTGACTTAATTGGGGTGTCAGGGTACTGTACTGTGCCACTCTACACTCTACGTGCAGGCACACAGTGAAGTTAGGGAGATTTCGATAGAATGGATTGGAGGCGGAGAGGTATCGTCGTATCGATACCAGGGTTGCTTGCTGCCAAAAATTGTCACTGCGTCAAACGCTGGGTCCGCCGTCGATAAATTTTCATCGGCGGTCGCGTTTTTGTTTCGCGCCTCCAGAATTCGAGGTGTCAGGCCCGCGGCCCAGGTGTCCATGTACTGGTGCTTTAATCAGTGTCAGCATACCATGGTGCAGCATACCATGGTGCAGGCACACGGTGAGCTTAGGAGATTTTGACGGTGTCGACTGACCAGGGTTAACTCCACAGGGAAAAAAAAAAAAAAAGGTCAACTCCACAGGGTTGGCTTAGAGGTTAGCTCGATCGGTCCCAGCCTGCCCAGCCTGCTGTGGTGCTCTACACGCCAGGCACTCAGTGAGCTTAGTATCGTTTGACGGTATTGATGCAGCGGTATTGATTCAACCAGTGCCAACCTGCTGTGGTGCTCTACATGCAGGCAGTCAGTGAAGTTAGTATAGTTTGTGTTTTTTCTTCGTTGAGAGAATGCAAACCTCCGGGCAGATATGCTCTATTACGTACTTCATGTGTTGCTGAAACTGATCTGATGTAATTAGCATTTGAGCAAACAGCCGCTGCATGACGGATNATGTGTTGCTGAAACTGATCTGATGTAATTAGCATTTGAGCAAACAGCCGCTGCATGACGGATTGCTGCTGAGCCAACCCGAGACCTGTTGCTTCTCGTTGTGCACTCTCTCCTATATCGTCTGTCTCAGGACGGATGAGAAACCGGTCTGCGCAGGGATGCATGTGTGCAATTCGGTTGATTCACACAGAGCAAGGCTTTTTCGCCTGCTCCGTGTGTGCTGCGTGCTGGGAATGCCACATCGTCTGCAGGCTACTGCACGCTCTTATGTGTTTTTAACTTTTTAGTGGTTTACGTCAGCTAGATTTGTTTTCCGTCTCATTTCTGTATGTTTGTTTGACCGGGCTTCAAGTTCAGATGGGAGACGACAGAACTCCGTACACCGCATACTACCCTTAAGGCTGTATCGATTCACGTAAATTCTTCGTGAAAATACAGGCATGAGTAAGCATGACGTATGCCTGTATTTGGCATCAAGGGTGACATATGGGCCAAGCAGATTGCCAGTGTCGGCTACAGGGTGTGTAGTCAGATGGGGGCCCCTGCAGAAAAATTGTGGACGGGGGGGCCTGGGGGTCTGGGGCCCTGGAGCTGGTAGGGGTTGATAACCCCCTGAGGTCAGTTTACGTACCTTCCTTCAGGCGGACACCATTTTGTGGGATGCATACATATGCTGTGACAACATTTTGTGGGATGCATACATAATACATATGCTGTGTAGCATTTCTTTTATCGTCAGCTTGTCCGAGGGCGAACCTTACGACATCATCTTTCTGACCACGTGGACGTTTCAAAGCATGGATTCGATTTTCATCATTATCAAATTGACATTCGGAGCAATCTTTCCCCCCGCCTCCCCCTTCGTTTTAAAACGGCGACAGCCTCGAGGTATATCATCATCGACGGACTGACCCAAGGTAATTGAGAAGAGTAGTATTTTATACTCATCTGTGTCCAGTGGAGTTCGAACTCAGCACCTGGTCTGTATTTCAACAATTCAGGCCAGGGGGGGTGTACCAACTGTTCTAGGCCAGTTGGTGACAGCTTGGGCCCTTTGGGGCATTCAAATAGGGGACTCTGACCCAGATTATCGTTGACGATCCAACAGGGCCCACTGTCCCACATCAGCACTCAGCATATTTATTTAAATATTTTTATGTATTATTTAAAAAAGGGCAATGGCCTTGAGAAAAGTTGAGATCCCATTGTGAGACCGACCCCCCCCAGGTAATTCAGAATTGTGATCTAGTTCCCCCTGGACTTGAATTCATGTCTGCATTTCAAGTTTCAACAGTTAACGACGATGATGATGGATCCGACAGGGTCACCATTGTCACCATCAGCACGCAGAATCTCTAGTTTTCTAAAAAGGGTGATGGCCTTGAGATATCCGTGGCAAACCAACCGAACCGAGGAAATTCAGAATTGTGCTCTAGTTCTGCCTGGGTTCGAACTCAGGTCTGTTCAACAGTTATGGGTGTACCAACTTAGCTAGGCCCATTGTTACAGTACCCGCGGCATCGGTTGTTCTCCAGTGTGAGGCGCTCGCTGTGTACACGAGTGCCAATCCGTAATCCCGGCGTGGTGTTGTTTAAGGGATTGACAACAAGCCTATGGATGTGCTGCTGCCATGACAGAGGTCAATCGGCTTTTGAAGTTTTGATGCCAGTTAGTGTGCATCATCACTTTTGCCCAATTGCCTGTGAATTGGAGTTACGACTGTTAGATGAAATATGATGATGAATGATGAAGTTTCGAGTCCGTTCCGTTCAATGTTATAGACTGTTTGTGCAGCTTATGCTGGCCTCAGAGGTGTGAGTTTTCTGTTTGTTGGCCCCCGGCGTGTGCTGTGGCCCTTGTTTTTGGCAATGTCGATGACTGACCATCTATTTGTAGACTCAAGATTTAGACTCTCTGTGCACGCCTTATGTGGAGTTTCTGTGCAGCTTATGCGGAATCTTTGTGTAGCTTGTGCGGAGTCTTTGTGTAGCTTATGCCGATTCTCTTTGCAGCTTACGCGGGCCTCAGAGGTGTGAGGCACTGCGAGCCTTCGTTGTCGGTCCCGTTACCTCGTCAGGGTATAGCCAAGTGGAAAGGCATCGGTTTTTGACAGTTGGCCCCCAACATGTTCTGTTGTCGCGTTCGTTCAACGATGTTGTAGACTGTTTGTGCGGTTTATGCTGTGGCTTCGGAGGTGCGAGCCTCCTCTTCACCCCCGACGTGTTTTGTGGCCTTTTTTGACAACGTCAGCCTCTGCCCCATTTATTTGTAGACTCTAGGCTTAAGACTGTTTGTGCAGCTGGCTCACGCGCATCGGCGGTGTGTACCTCCTGTTGGGCCCTGACGTGGTCTGTCGAGTCTCTGTTGAGTTTTTTGGTGGCACTGGCAAGATGCCCATCTATTTTTAGACTCTAAGTTTTCCCATCTATTTTTAGACGCACGGTTTGCAAGACTACCACTATTGTTGACTTTCTGTTGACTGTTTTGGCAGCATCGGCAGGATGCCATCTATTTTTAGACTCAAAGTTTGCCCATCTATTTTTAGTCTTTTAGACTCAAGGTTTGCAAGACTACAACTATTGTGAGGAGCTGGGAATCTTCTTGCCTACATTTTTTCACCCGTGCAGTTCCAGCTGGGTTCGGACTCAGGTCATCAATTGAAGAGGTCATCAGTGTAGCGACTGAGCTGTGACGGCTGGGCTCGTCTGCAATTGTATTTCAACAGTTCATGGGTGTACCAACTGAGCAAGGAACCAACCTTCTCCAGCTGAGTTCGAACTCTCAGGTCTGCTGCGATTGAAAAGGTAGTCGGTGGCGTGCCGACTTGGTTACTTCGTCTGCATTTTGAGGTACGATTCTTTTTCTGTTTTTTGCATCCCAGTTAGCCACAGCAGCAAAGTTAAAGGGTGACAGATTGTAGATATCATCAGTGAACTGACCCGCCCCAGGTACTCGAGGTATTTTCATTCATACAGTCCGAGATTTGAGATTGAACTGGCGCCGCTGCCACTTCAGAGCCTCCCATGTGCTGCGGCTTTTCTAGGGTTTCTTATCCCTGTGGATTCGAACTCAGGTCTGTCTGTGGCTCAACTTTCAACATTTGACGAGTGTACCAACCGGGCTTGGCCCCCTCATGGTTTAGCCCCCTTGATTCTATTTGCAGTTGTTTCATAGTTTCGGAAGGTAAGTGGATTAAAACACAATAGGGGTCTGGGCGGTGGGTACGTGAATAAAACACGATAGGGGTCTGGGTCTGCACCGATCCATGGGCTTGTCTGACTGACTGAGTGTTCTCTAACCACGGTGACGTTGGCAGTTGAAGTTGAGTCGGAAAGGTCCTTACTCCGAATATGGCGTATGGTCTTTACGCCAATTCCCACTGGTTGGGGAGAGTAAAAGGGGTTGTGGCTATCTGCAAATATAGAAGGGAGGCTGTCAAATGCTATTATTAGAAGGTGCGCTTTGTTTCCAACACGCACATGACGTGGAGCTGTCGCAAGGGACCTCGAGCATCCACATCCAAAAGCTTAGTAGGTGGTTTTTTGCGCGATTTTTGTATGTTCAATCTCAATTTCAAAATAAAAATGCTGTTTCAGAAGCTTCATTACAGAGTGAGAGAGTGCCACGGAGCTGTCGCAAGGGGCCTCGACCGGCCAAAAGCTTTAAAGTAGTTCTTTTTGAGCCATTTTTTTGTATGTTCAATTTCAATTTCATAATTAAAAATTTAAAATGCTGTTTCCTAAGGTCAGTTCTTTTTTAGCCATTTTTTGTATGTTCAATCTCAATTTCAAAGTTAAAATGCTGTTTCAGAAGCTCAGTTATTGTTGAGATATTTTGGTATGTTCGATCTCAATTTCTGCTGTTTCAGAAGCTCAGTTGTTTTTGAGCCATTTTTGTATATGTTCAGTCTCAATTTCAATTTCACATAAAATTAAAATGCTCTTTCAGAAACCAATTTTACCCCCGTTACGCGACTTTTGAGTACCCAGTGTTTCCAACAGTGTTTTGCACTCTTTTCCTGTCCTTCGATTCTTTCCAACAGTTCTTTGCGCTGTTTTCCTGTCCTTCGATTCTTTCCAACAGTTCTTTGCGCTGTTTTCCTGTCTTTCGATTCTTTCCAACAGTTCTTTGCGCTGTTTTCCTGTCCTTCGATTCTTTCCAAGAGTGCTTTGACTCTTTTATACACACACACCCAAGCCCACTTTTTTTTGTGGAGAATTGCATTTAGGGCCACTTCTTCACTCTTACAGCCGAGGCGAGGTTGCCGGTTCGATTCCGTGTATCACATATCCAAGGTGAAGTCTCCGTTCAGTGCTTGCCACATTTTGTAACTGGCTTTGGGACTCTACCAAAATTCAGTGGTGGCTGCGGGGACCTTGCCCCGCCAGGGCATTATGTGTTGGAAAAGAGGCTTTCGAAAGTCCACAGCTATTAAACCTTTGTGATCTAGAATGAATCTTCCACTAGAATACGCAAAGATACACAGCCATCAATTTTCATTTTTTGCCTTTTATGCATTTGGATAGTGTGATCTATCACAGTGCCTCGACTCAAAAGTCCATTTGACTAAAAACCCAGGAAACAAAAGAAGGGCCTCGCTGCACCGCTCACCAAATATGCAAAATGAGAATGAATCTTCCACCAAATATGCAAAATGAGAATAAATCTTTCTGCTAGAACACGGAAAGAGCCACCGTCCATCATTCTTGTGTTTTACGCATTTCGATAGTGTGACGGCACAAGACCCAAACAATGCAAACAGAAAAGTACGCTCCAATCAAAAATGGGCGCACTTCAGCAAATGATGGACAATGAGCGCATCGCTCCACTACAGAACACTCTACATGCACTTGGACGCTCTATGGGCCAGGTGGATTCCGACAAGCCCCACATTACGAACGTACCAGGGCTAGAAAAGCGTCCAAATGCATGTTCGGTTGTGTCCTCGCGCCAGGTCCAATGTGCAGAGTCTGAACTGTGAACAATGTCACACGGTTCTCAACGAAACACCCGCGGACACGTCCGCGGGGTCGAGCTCGGATCGCGGCTCCAAATGGATCCGCATCCGCGGCCTACCTGCTCCGCACCGTGGACCAGATTTTACACGAATTTTCCTGAATTAAATAATAGGTATATATATATGTGGGGTTGTAGGGAATTTTAAGCCCTACAACTCCATATTTTTTGTTTTTGAATCCGACTTTGTTTAGGATTTTTAAAAAATCAAAAACGAAATTGGATTTAAAGAAAATTAAAAATATATATATAAAGAAAAGCAGGATTTTTTTTTGGTCATTTTTTATCATGAGATATATGGTCCGTGAGTTTACCTGTATTTTTTTAGAAATGAATTTATGTTTTTTTGCAGAAGTATGAGGTGTTTTGAAAAAATGCAGATGCAAAATTAAAAATAAAAAAAGGGGTTTGATTGATTGATTGATTGATTGATTGATTGATTGGTGGTGGGGGAGGAGTCGCCCCACC